CTGCGTGGGTGACTTTGTCGGCGACTGGGTTGGAGTCACGCTCGGGGTGGGTGACTGCGTGGGTGTCTGGGTCGGCGACTGGGTAGGCGACTGGGTAGGCGATTGCGTGGGCGACTGAGTGGGAGTAACGCTCGGCGTCGGGGTCACGCTTGCCGTGGGCGACTGAGTCGGCGACTGAGTAGGCGACTGCGTGGGCGAGTTGGTCGGTGACTGCGTGGGCGACTGCGTAGGCGACCGCGTCGGTGACTGCGTCGGCGAGTTGGTAGGCGACTGCGTGGGCGTCACGCTCGGCGTCGGGGTCACGCTCGGCGTTGGCGACTGGGTCGGTGACTGGGTGGGCGACTGCGTGGGCGACTGGGTCGGCGTCACGCTCGGCGTGGGCGTCACGGTCGGGGTCACACTCGGCGTAGGCGACTGAGTCGGGGACTGCGTGGGCGACTGGGTCGGCGTCACTGTCGGCGTCACGCTTGGGGTGGGCGACTGCGTGGGCGAGTTCGTGGGTGACTGGGTAGGGCTCACGCTTGGGGTGGGAGATCGCGTGGGCGACTGTGTGGGCGACTGCGTCGGAGAGTTGGTCGGCGACTGCGTGGGCGACTGCGTGGGGGAATTGGTCGGCGAGTTGGTGGGTGAGTGCGTAGGGGTCACGCTGGGTGTCGGCGACTGCGTGGGCGAGTTGGTCGGTGACTGCGTGGGCGACTGAGTGGGCGATTGCGTAGGCGAGTTGGTGGGCGACTGGGTCGGGGTCACACTCGGCGTGGGCGACTGAGTAGGAGACCGCGTGGGCGAGTTGGTGGGCGACTGCGTGGGCGTCACGCTCGGCGTCGGCGACCGCGTGGGTGATTGAGTCGGCGACTGCGTGGGCGACTGAGTCACACTAGGCGTGGGCGATTGGGTGGGCGACTGCGTGGGCGAGTTGGTCGGGGACTGAGTGGGCGACTGCGTGGGTGACTGCGTGGGCGACTGCGTTGGGGTCACCGTGGGAGTCACGCTCGGGGTGGGCGAGCAGGTCGGTGACTGTGTGGGCGACTGGGTCGGTGACTGCGTGGGCGTCACGGTCGGGGTCACGCTCGGCGTCGGCGACCGGGTGGGCGATTGGGTCGGCGACTGCGTAGGGGACTGCGTGGGCGAGTTCGTAGGGGACTGCGTGGGCGACTGAGTCGGCGATTGGGTCGGAGACTGCGTGGGCGTGTTGGTCGGCGTCACAGTAGGAGGTCACGCTCGGCGTCGGCGACGGCGTGGGCGATTGGGTTGGCGACTGCGTGGGCGAGTTGGTCGGCGAGTTGGTGGGCGACTGCGTGGGCGTCACACTCGGCGTAGGTGAGTTGGT